TAAAAAAGAATTCAATTAATTATTGCAATCAATTGTAAACAAGTAAATACAAAAACTTAATGATACAAAAAAAGCAATTCAGTAAATAAAATCAAAGTCGCTAATTATAAAACCCAGCAGGAGCGATACTCTTTGCAATTAAACGCTTGATTCCAAAAGAAGCTTCTTTCTTTTTATCTTGTACCAATCCCGCTTCATCATCTTCTTTTTCTTCTATTCGTTTGCGCTTTAAAGTTGATGATAGATTTGTAATTCGTTCGCCTATAAAAGTATTAGATTTAAGGTCGTTAAACTTATATATAATAATTGACTTACTTTGACTTTGAATAACGACTGAAAGAGTAGTTTTAAGTTTCGAAATACTAGGTTTCGGGGTTTGAGCGGCATTTAAGGTTCTATAAGATAGCGAAGCCGAGTCCGGTATTCTATCAGCTTCCTTTCTACCTATTATCCCTTCATCACCTTGCTCAAAGCTTGATATTTCTTCCGCGTCAAAATAATTTTGTTAAGAAATATCATTCGAATCGTTTTGATCGCATAAATTTGCTATCGCTAATATTTAAGTTAGAATTTATATATAAATAAAAGCGTATATTATATAATATCGTACCTCGTTGCACTTTATTTTTGTGATTTATATAGCGTTCAAAGCTAGTCGATTCGTTCGTACCGTTCGAATCTGAATTTTCTAAATCGTTTTCGTTTTCTATATCACTAAAAACGTTCCAATCTGTATCATCTTGAGTTTGCTTATCGAAAGGTAAATCCGTAGCTACTTTCGATTGATTTACTTTGCTTGGTTTTCTTTGTAAAGAATATAATCGATTTGCTACGACTTTGCTTTAAGAAGCGGAAGAATGCGCTTTGTATAATCCTATATGATAGTTAGTAAATCGATTAGTAAATCGATTAGTAAATCGATTAATAAATCGATAAAAGGTAAAAATATCGCAAGTAAATTAACTTACTTTTTAAATGCCCTTCGTAATTTAAAGACTTTCCGTACCGTGGCTGTCGCATTTTAAACGAAACATCTTTATCAATATCTTGAAACCCATCTAAGTTCTCTCCTATTCAATATAATTAATAAATATTTATAAAATCAATATTATTTAAACTTACGTGATTCTCGCACTTCAGCTTTCAACATTATCAACCTAGCCTCTCGTTACTTAAAACTCATTGTTCGAAGGTCTTAATCGATCGCAAGATTATCGCAAGCAAAGATATATTCAAAACAAGATAAGCCTTGAAATTGACGATTTTGCCATTCTTAAAATTTTTATACTTCCTATTCGAATTCCTCTTCAAGCTGATCCTCATCTAAATCATTATAATTTACTAAAATCGATTCGAATAAATGCCGAGCTTTATCCAAGCGAGTATTACACATCTTGAAATATAAAGCAGTTATTTCTTTTGCGATTATTAATAGCGATAAATTACCGCGACGATAATCGCAAATATCTCTTGCAATATTAAATACCCTTTCTACGCAAACACTAGTTAAAGAGATGCATAAAAAATCTCTAGCCATTCGAGCTAGATCAAGGTACCGAGGCTCAAGGTTTCGCCAAGAAGTCAAAATCTCTCGTCCGTCGACCGCTAAACTCAATTAATAAAAATCAATAAAATTAAGGTTTTAAATTAAAATTTCAAACTTACGAGCTAAAAGATAATCATGCACTTCCGACGACTCGTGATCTGTATCTTCGAAAGAAGCTTATTAAAAAGAACTTAGCATTAATCTACCGCGGAGTAATAAAGCGGCCATCGGTTGACGATCGATTGCTTTAATATTATCAATACGTTGAGCTGTAAATATCGAAGACTTATAATATTCGTTAAAAAGCCTTTCGAATCTCGCTCGATATATTGCAGACCAATCTTTACCTTCGTAAAGCTAAGAAAAATTTGAGTCGAAAGTCCTTAGCTTAATAGCAAGATGTAAGATTGTCGCGAAAGCAAAAATATCCCTTAACGGCCCTTGCGTTTTCTTATAATACTTATCTAATTTCTCGATAACATTAATAACGCCTTCTTCTAATTGCAAGATCCATTCAAAATCATTGCGATCTTCTTCCGAAATCTTTATATATTCAAACTTTAATCGTACTTATGCTTCATTTAAACGTTCGAATATTTCATCGAACATTAAAAATCCGTATTAAATAATAAGACTAAGCTCTTCACCTAAGTGCATAGTTAAAAGGTGAAACGGTCGAAAGATATCGATTAGCCATAAGATTTGCTTCCATTGAGTATTAGATAATTTGAAAATACTCATCTTATCGATCTCTGTATAATGTCTTTAAATAACATCTTTAAGAGTTATAAATCGATTAAGCATATAGAATGTAAAATCCCATCTTATAACAACATCTAAAACAAGCTCTAAGCTTTTCGTTAAAAGATGCTCTGAATCGTCGATAAAAGCTTTTATCGTTTTATTAAATCGCGATTTTCAAGGTTGGCTAGCCGTAACACACTTAACAAACTTCCGAACCTAAGTACGTTGATCAATGATTAGTAAATATAATTAATAAATATTTTTTTTAAAAAAAAAAACTTATAATCGCAAGTGTATATGCAATCCCTCGTTTATCGCGTCTTCTTGCTCCTTCTAGCTCGTTTATATCAAAATCTTCTTCCTAATGCTTTTCTAAGCTTTCGTTCGTTAGCGATAATCGCGGTCCGAGCAACGCTTTAAGAGATAATTGCAAGACGTAAGCTATACACGGAACGTGTAGAATCTCTTAGCTTATAAAAAGCTTTTTCTCAAATGCATCTTCGACGCATTTAAGCAACTCTTTTATCATTGTGTTATTCGAAGATGCGTTATCCGTTGTAATCGCGATTATCCTTTTTATTAAGCTTAATTTAGTAAGGCGTTCGTAAATAATTCTTGCTAATTCTTCTCTTGTATGATTGAACTCAACGTATATAAATCCAAGCATAAGCTGAATCATATGCCAATCTTTTGTAATTGCAGTTCCGATTATGCACATAAAAGAATAGCGCTTAATGCTAGACCAACAGTCTAGTGAAATGCTAAGTTTTTAATTAGCTAGTAAATTGTCTAATAGATAGCGATCAATTTCCAGAATCCTATCGTCAAAGTCTCGCCTAATAGTTGAAGCACTAAAGAGCTTAAGATATAAGTTTTGTAATTCGCAAAGAGATTTCCAATCCGAGTTATTAACCATTCGAAACGAGCTTCGCGTAGATAATATAACATCTAAAACACTTTTTCGAAATGCTAATTTTAAGTCTTGATGCAAAAGCGTTCCTCGTAATAGATGTGTCTATTGAATATTAGTTTTATTATTTATTAATCAGATTTACTAATCCGATTTACTAATCAGATTTACTAATCAGATTTACTAATCAGATTTACTAATCAGATTTACTAATCCGATTTACTAATCAGATTTACTAATCAGATTTACTAGATTTATTAACCGAATTTATAAATAAAAACAAACGTACCAAATTGCGTTAAAGAGATTTAGATCCTAATTGAGTTTGCCGAAGCTTTTGTTTTGGCCCACTTACGACGCGTTTGCAAACATCCGTTTTCTGATGATCGGCTAATGCTTTCGTTCCAAAAGCCTTTAGCTTCGGATGCTTTAAAGCTCGATCGCACTTTTTACAGCATACTACAAGCTCTCCTGTTGATTTCTCAGCTGCTTAAACGAATCCAATCCATACAAAAGAAGTTTTCTTTCCATTCCAATCGATTCGCAAAGGATTTTGATTAGCCTCTTATTGTTAAGAATACCATAAGGTCTATGACCACCAAGTATTAAAAGTCTCAATCTCTTTAACGTTCCAAATATAATATTGATTAGAACATCCAATAGTTGCTAATAGTACTAGGCCAAAGAAACTAATTGTAGAGCTTTCGAACTCTTGACTTTAAAATAGATCGGTATCTTCGTAAGTAGTTAAAGTAATTTAAAATGAAAACGAATCAGTAGCTTAAGAAGACATATTTAAATTCTAGCGAATTTGCTATTAAACTATTGATTTGAACTTATATATCAACGTCTTATATACTTGAATATTATATAACATCATTTTATAATTTAAATATATTTTATTAAGTTAATTTATTTTTAAAAAAGGTTTTGCTTACGCTTAATTCTTTTTAAACAGCATTCTTACGAGCGTTAAGTTTTAACTAGCGGTTTTTTTTTTATCTTTTCATTTCTTTTTATTTCCTTTTTATTAAAGCTTAATTATAATTATATCTTTTAACACTTTTAAGCTCTTTTTACTTAGGCTGACTATTACGAACAACCTTCTTATATATAGACCTCAATATCGGTATATCTATATCGACCTTAGCTAGCTAGTAGTATTTAAGGGAGTTCACGGGCCACTTAACATGCCTCGCTCAGCATATCACACCAGTCAAAGGACCCTTAACTTAACTAGTAAACTTATTATTTAGCTAGTGCGCGTGATTCCTTCTAATCATATAAAAGGAATCAGCTCCTTTGAATTTTAAAGAGCAATTAGAATTCAGATACTTTTACAACCGAGTGTTTTGCAATTGCAAGTACTTTAACGACCGTTACGAAATTACGAATATATTCTTTAATCGCTTAAAAAGAATCCAACACTCAGTTTTTTTCAACTTTTGCTTTCGATAATTATTAATTTCAAATTCAAATAATAATTTTATAATCTTCTTAAGCTTTATATAATCCTTTCGCTTTTTTATAAATTCTTTAAATAATCGCTCAAAGTCGTTATAACAAGTACCTACTTAAATTTATTAAGGTTTAATTAGTATACAAAGATAAGGTGCCCATAGAAATCTTAATTTAAATATAATCTTTACAGCTTTCTTTTCGGCTGCTGCTATGCGGTAAATAAAATTAATATAATCTGATAAATATTAAAAATAAAAGCATTTAATTAAAAATTTATTATATAAAACGATAGAACACTTTATAATCGTATTAGCTCATAATTATATCTACAAGCTCGAATATCTATTATAACTGAAGAATAGATAAAAGAAATTCATATTTTAACGGACGCTTGCCGATTTATTTGTAAGTGCCGTTTTATTATCTATATATTAATCAAGTTATTAATTTATTAAAGATTGCAAACCAACCAAACTCGATCCTTACCGAAGTAGATAATGAAACTTATTATTCCTTTTTTATTAGACGAACGAACGGTCGAAACGCTCGGTGTGCAATAGAAATACTAGACGAAGAAAGGCGTAATCGTAGCTAATTAGTTAGAATAGACGAATATCGAGTTAAGCGGTTTTTAAATAACGGCTATAAAATTAAGCTATCTGTTAAATAGATCAGTAAAAACGAACATAACGACGGATATCATGGAATTGATATTGTTAGCGGGCAAAAGACTTTTTATATACAAAAAAGAGGTATCGCAAGAAAGGAAGGTAATAAATTCGATAGCTTGCGAAGGCCTCTTGAATTTCATTATTATAAATTAATAGATGAGTTTATATAGATAGTTTTAAAATCGTTATTATATTAAATAAAATATATATATAATTAACTTTAAATATAATCTATAAATCTAAATATTAAAATAATTTATTAATATATTTATATCGATTTTAAATACAGCAAGTCGGTCAATTCTTTTTATTTAAAACTTCAAGATGTGACGACCTTAAGCGATTACTTAAAAGAACTCACGAGAGCGCGAGAGTTCATATAAGAGCTCAAGAGAATCTCAAAGTAATAATTTAAAATCAACAATTACCGAGTGTAAAGGTCGAAAGTAGCTAAGGTCTATATATACGAAGGTAGAAGCGCTAAAGACTCGTGAACCATAGTTCATAGGTCAAAAGCGGGGAATAAGAGAATACGAAGAATACGAAAGAAAAAATAAAAGAAGTAGCTTAACGCATGTAAAGTGCGTCTAAGAGACTTGTAACGACCTTAAGCGATTACTTAAAAGAACTCACGGGAGCGTGAAGTTTATATAAGAGCTTAAGAGAATCTCAAAGTAATAACTTAGAATCAACAACTACTAAGTGTAAAGGTCGAAGGTAGCTGAGGTCTATATATACGAAAGTAGAAGCGTTAAGGACTCGTGAACTATAGTTTATAAGTCAAAAGCGAAGAATAAGAGAATACGAAAAATGCGAAG